GTCTTGTCGAGTACGTGGGTCATGCTTTTTTGTCGCGAAAGTGTAGCTGGAATGGGTAGTCTGTCGACTCAAGTATCATACCCAATCGGCTATCTTCGTAAAAGAGCAACATTTCTCTTCGACATTGTGCCTCCTCTTGTTCAACCAACTGCCTCTCTATCCCGTGTCTTCCCGCTCACTGCTTCTTTTCATGTCATTTGGGACGGAATGAAGCCACTCAACCTTTTTGGCGTTAGTAATACATTTTTTAAGTGGCCATCAGCAGCCTGGTTCCGACTGGCTTTCGTATTCCAGTGACTCCAGTGGCTTTGTTCACGATAAAGTCAAACAAAGCTACGCTTTTGCACTGAATTTCACCTCGTCCCGCATCTCACTTGGCCATTCTCACTCAGACTCAACCTTTTTCTCAACCTCGTCTCATCCACTCATCGTTTCATCAACAACCGTTGGCCACACGAACCTGGTCAAATTGTGTACATCAAAAGCATCACCTTTCAGGCGACGACCGCCACTCTCTTGATTCATATCATTTGCTGATCTGCTCGGCTTAGAGCCCACAAATACACGATCCGAGTCCGGAGATGGTAAGAGGATGAGGCAAAGTGGCGACTGGCGAATAGCATGACTAAGGCTAGTCCTTTGTGATACATCATAAAATAAGGTTTGGTTTATTCATAAGTCGCTAGCATTTTATGCAAATACACTCGCATCTGGTCTACTATAAGCACCATAGCCAGATTATTGCCATTTACATACTCCATATTCAATTTTAACAATTCACAAGACTTATTAGCCTTCATATGAACTGAATGAAGATGAAGAATGACATCATCTTGAATTGCTCATCCCTATTAATTTTTTGTTTGGCCTACAACAAGCAATTTTACTGCTTCTACTAGAGCAACTATTGCTTCTCATAAAAGTAGTTATAATAATTTTTTTGGTATTGGTTCGACCTTGTTTTTGCAACTTAATCGGAGCATCAGCGAGACCTTGTAAAACGTACCTAGTCCCGTGTCCTCTCCACAATATTCTTGATTTCTATCAATGGACCAATGGCTTCGTACATTCCAAAACGCTTCGCCGGCATCGTACTCAGCATGCTCAGTGAGAATTACAACTTATCAAAATGCCTTCCCTCACTTGTCACTTGGTCGAATGCTAGAAATCAAGAATACTATGGCAGAGGACATGGGATTCGGTACGTTCCACGAGGTCTCCCTAAACTTGCGAAAACAAGGTCGGATCGACTCTATAAAGCTAAAGGAGACCGCGACTAAACAGAGGCCTCACCATCTTGGTCTTCATATCTACGAGATAATTTTTATTGTTCTATTATTCTATCAATTATATACTATAATTATACGCTATTACTGCTAATAATATTTTTCATCACCAGGACAATTTGTGCACCCAGCAACTACAACATCTAGACATAATATAGCACTGTGAATGTATTGATGATCCGATACTTCGAGTCTTCACTTACCGTTTCACGCATTGTAATATGCAAAGCTTTATAGAAGTTGTTTAGCCTTGTTTTGGCAACTTCGTCATATTGGCCGAAAGACCTCTTGTCTAACACTTGCCCTTTCCGACAGTAGGGAGTAGATAAAAGGGCAATAACACAACAGTTTCGGCAGAAAGTTGGTCAAGGGATCGACTTCACTAGTCTCTTTGACGAGGTATAGTTTGATGCTGAGGACGGCAAGACTTACTGACGAATCAGGCGAAACGTCTAAAAATGTACCAACTCCACGGCTTGGCGCTTGGAAATAGGATAACGCCCTGGCAGCATGACAAAGTTTTGAAAACGAGGTCGAAAGGAGACTCAGACCAAACTAGAGGCCACAACATCTTGTTATTCGTATTTGTGAATAAGATAATTTGCAGTAAATTCGAATTCTCTCCTTCTTCTTTTTTCTTGCTTCTCCAGACAAGCATGAAGTGTGTACAGTCTTTGGCACGAATGTCACTTTTAGCAGACAAACTGGATGTTTTTCCTTTAGCGTTCATTGGGTTTCACCTCGAGCGATTGACCTTCCTTAGTAGACAGAGCATATTCGTCGAAATAGGCACAGGTTAGAGCTTCAAGCGGCTGTCATGACAACGTAATGAATTATGGCTTTTCGTCTAAATGTCGTCATACCGCATTGTCTTGCAAGTTTATGTAGGCCCTTTTGACGAGTTCATCCCTATTTTGAGACTCGAAGGCAGTTCCCACCAGAAAAGATGGCAGATTCCTTTTAGCGCTAACTGTCGTTCGGCTTTACTGGAACCCCATGGTTTAGCCTGTCTCTAGGGAAATTTCCTACAATTCAGGTGACCATGTGCTAAGACCTTTTTGTCATGTCATATGACAGGCATTTTTAAAGTATGGTAGCATTCTTAAGATGAATTCAAGTTAATGGGTCAAGCAGATCCAGCGGTTTAGCCATACATTTTTTTATTTATAATCTAAACTGATGGGTTTTTATGACAATTTGATAAACCAGGACAGATGTTGAGATTTGTTCTAATTACTTCAAACTTTCGCTGTTGATTCTTTAACTTCAAGTAGGCATGAACACTGAGAAGCATAATCCCGGAGGGCATATAATATAAATTAGGGATACCGTTCCAAATCTCACAAAAATTCATGCTCTTAAAGTATATCCAAATGTACAACTATAATTATAAATAAATCAATAGACAAATAACTAATAAGTATATCACTTTTATAATAGGAATTAATTCATTAATTTAAAAAAATATTAATATATGTATATACTTTAGGGGGTGAATTTCATTATGAAATATCGTTTGCCATTCTATAGGTCATAAAAATTTATTTTTTTGAAGTATATTTAAATATATAAATATATTTATCACTATTTTAAACAAATATATTTATTAGTTAATATATTATACATACTTTAAAAACATTAATTTTTACGAGATATAGAATGACTTCCTTAATTCCAAGTGAATGTGACACTATATAAAAATTTAGATTATGTGAATATGCAAATAGATATTAATACAATAAATAACTAAATAAATATATATATATATATTTGTGTTCCATTTCTTAAATAGAAATGTATTCTTCAATTATTTGTATAGTTATATATACTCTAATTGCATGTGGTTTTAGGAAATATAGCATGCCTTCGTAAGTCCATATCAAACACCATTTCATACATAA